AGCATATGATAAGTGTCTCCTTTCCTATCGCTACGTCAGTTACAGGTTAAGGGGTGTCTTGAATGGATGAAGGTAATGTTTGTGCGAATATAGTAATTCTATTTTGAACTGAGAAATGATTCGCTTTTTGTCAATTAAGGAACTTGTAGTATTATTAAACAGAATGTCAGTGAAAGACATTGCGTTTGCATAGTGAATTATGAAGGTATTGAAAGGTAGTAAAGAAGGTGAATTAAAGAAATTAATTTGAACAATAAGGTAAGGCTATTATTAAAGAAAAAACTGTTCGAAAGATGTATGTTAGAATTAAAAGTAAGATGTTAAAATTTAAAAAGATGTAACAGAGTAAAACCAAAGAATACTGGTAATTCCCATCTGGAAAACAGTAATTTGAATACGATATTGAAAAAGTTGGTTTTAAGAATTTCTTTATGCATGTGATGCAAAACAATTGCTACTTTATCATGAGTGCTGACATAGATGCAATTAGTGTATGAAAAATAGTAAAATTAATATAGTCAGTGTCTCTAAAACATGAAAAAATAATAGTGTGAGCAGTGTAAATTCATTTGAAGTACTGAAATATGACATAGACTAAATACCAGAAGATGTAAGAAATATTTTGGTATGTGTGGATGAAACACTGAACGTGGTTGTAAAATTAGAAATGAAAATTATCAACACACATAAAGGTAATAGGGATTTAAAACTAAACATGATGTTAGAAACTTTGAAGATCGTAAAACTATATCAGAAAGAAATGCATTTAGATATAAATGGTATTAAACTGTAAAGTTGTGAATGGAAATTTCTGAGTAAAAACCTGTAAAGATGATTTATTATGATCGGAGAAACAAAACAAGTATTTTAAAAATTGTAAGGAAATATTTGAATATGGAGTAAATGAAAACAATCCATATCGTTAAAATGAATAAAAGGGAATAAAATGTTAGGAATTACGAATGATGAGACAGAAATAAAAACATTATAATAAATAAGTTAAACTAGAATTAAGAAATATAAACACAGAAGGGAAATCATGAACGTAAGAAAAGCGCAATTAACAGTTATAGACTTAAGTTTTTTTAAAAAAATATTCGGTAATGTAAGGAAGATATTGTTAAACATGTAAAAGAAATTAGAAATTCTGTAGAAAATTTAGTAAAAGAACTAAGATCACGAAAAATAAACGTTTCTTTTTAAATAGAATTTCAAACCACTAAGTTAAAGTGTGTATAGAATACTAGAATGGTTTAAAAAAAGTAAATGAAGTTAAAATTCAGAATATATTGAACATTATAACGTTAAAAAAAGTGTGAAATTGCATCTAAAATTAAGTAGTGTAACAAATAAAGCATGTGCGGGAACGTTTGTGAAATAATATATATAAGTTAAAATCAGGGTATGCTGAAATGGTATGAAAGGTATGAAAAAAAAATAGTATGTGGAAATTAAATAAAATATTACAAATTAGAAACGTTAAGTATTAAAAAAATATGACAGTAAATAAATATGTTATTATGAACAGAAAACCTGAGAAATAAGTTAAAGTTTCATGGAAAACTAGAAAGAATAAAAGTATCAGAATAAATTGATGAGTCGATTCAAATTCCATTTTCTTATATAGGCTTTTTTTACCTAAATCTGAATGTATCCCGTCAGCTTAGTGGTTAAAATCTTCAAACTACTCAGCTGGTGAGATATTTTGTTTCAGAGTTCAATTCTATATTTTGAATAATAGAGTATTTTTTTTTTTTTTAAAATAGAAATTTCTAAAATAAATTATTTTCTTTTTTCGTCCATAGAGGACGCCATGAGCAATTCCTAAATAGATTATTTTCATTTTTCATCCCTAGCGGACGCCATGACCCCGTTGCCAATTTAAAAAAAAAACTAACTTTAAATGAAAAGCAGGAGGTCTACAACTCAATCAGCAGTCTACGAACACCTCAACTCCACTCGAAACCACGCCTACTAGTGTGATGACGTTGCCTTTGGCCCCGCCCTCTGTGTGACGTCATTGGCCACGCCCACACCGCACACCGCGTGTGGGTGAACCCGTGTTTTCTATCTACTCCCGCCAGACACTCTCCAGGAGCTTCTCCGACTTACATCCTACAGGAATGTGCGCTACCGCCACAAGAAGCGATCAGAGATTGCCAGCTTGACTCGCCATTGTCAAGCATGCATTTCAGCTAAAGGGTATCATAGCAGTTATTAGTATAATGTTTCCATTGCACATTCTTCCGACCCATTTGGTCTTTCGTAATGTGATGGCCGAAATACGTGTTTTTGTATGTCTTTGCTTTATTGTTGGTTGGCTATATGGTCTAGTTTGCCACACCAACCTCTTGGATCAATTTCACACATATCCATTGAAAAGTTTTTGTCTTATTCCGTGTTTTGCCTTTGTTGCTTATTTGAGCAGGAGTGTATTTTGTGAAATACTTCCAAGTTATCGAATTTATTTGAGATTTGCGGGAGGAGTTCCAAACATGTCATTCGTTATAGTAAAAGCAAATGCCTTTTCTCATGAACTATTGAAGCAACCTCTTTCCTTATCCTTTCGATAGTTTTGTTCCATTGATTTGAGGTTTTAAGCTCTTCCTTTCTCAATGGGGGTGGGCCGTCCAAAGTATCAGCTGTTTCCAGATTCATTCTTAAATAGTAATTATTAGGCTTTTGAATTGATAAAAAATATTTCTAAAAATTAATTTTAAACACACTTTAAAATCTCAATTATTTTTATTAAAAATGTTAGAAGCCCCCCCCCCAAAATGTGAAGTTTGCTTCCTTGTGATACAATACATTTTGAATAAATACTTGAACAAGCAAGAAGCGATATGACAACGCGAATCACAAGAAGCGTATTTAACAGAAAAAGTGCATGATAATCAAATTTTTAGAAAAACTTAAGTACGTTTATCATTCTCTTGAATACTCAAGAATTTAAAAGCGCTTTTCACTTTAAATGCGCTCTAATTTGCAAAACGTTTTCACGAACCTTTTCCTCATTTTACAGTCTGTTTCATATTGAATTCCCTCCCCCCCCCGCTGTTTTATTTTTCTTTGTTTAATCACTTTGCACTTAAGTGTTCCGTATTTTTTTTACAAGTTTGCTAATTTTATAATCAATTAGTTTAGAAATATAGTCTTATAAAAAAATTCTTATAAAATATTTATAAAAGATACGTGTGGTAGTTGTGACTGAAACTCATTAGGTGAAGTATGACGTAAATAGAAACCTGTACAAGTAAGTGAGATTCGTGGTCTTATTTCCGACACTGTTGCGCAAGAAAAAGCATTGTATTAAAAAGTTTTGGAAATGCTGAATGTTATTGAAATCTTATTTTTAATTTGATGAAGATGCGACAAATTTTATTAGCGAAAACGAAAAACTGAAAGAAGCAATGATTAATTTTCCGCTTACTTCAGTAATAGCTAATTATAAAAAATTAATTAATTAAGTGCACAAAGGTGCTAATAGCTATTCGAAAATAATAAATAATTTTACTAACTGACTAAAGATACTAATGACTGGTTGAGAAAAATAAATAATTAAATAAATGAATGACCTTCTAGATTCATTAATTTTTTTTTATTTTTTTATTTTTTTAAAATTTTTTTTTAAGCAGGATACGGGAAAAATGTGTAGTGTCTTCGCCAGAGCTCGAAGCTTGTACCTCTCAAATATGTGTTGCTTCCAGTTAGTTACACCACGAAGGCATGCAGAAATGAGGGAGAAATACCTTATATACTCCCGCTTTTAAAGGGCGACTGGGGATTAGAAGACCCAGTCGCCAAATGCTGGTGGTGACGAATTATCGTTCATCATATTTTAGTTTGGGTGCCACTGTAAAGTCATTAGGTTTTTCTGAAGCAGGAGACATGAAAAATGTGCAATGCCCACCTCGGGGCTCGAACCCTGGACCTCTCGAATACGCGTCGAGTGTGCTTCCAATTGCATCACGAAGGCATACGGAAAGGAGGAAGCCCTTATAAACTTAGCCCGTTAGGTTCCTGTTTCTTTCCTCAGACTATTATACGGTTCTCACATATACAGTTTTACAGTCACATTTGTTAAAAAGTAAATTTTATGCTTCTAAAAGAATCCTTCAGTGTGAATTTGCTGCTGTACTAATTAACATCCTGTTTTAAAGATGGCATTTCACTTTAATATACAGTAGTTACATAGGGTCCTGTTTAGTTGCATTAATAGTTATTTTAATTTTTGAGCCTTTCCTGAATTATTTCCCCTCCCATTTCTTCTCCAGGATGCAAATTAAGTAGGCGAACAAGATTATTTTAACTGTTGAATCGAAAAGGTTAGACACAGCGTGATTTCGCTAATAAAGCGCACGTTTGCTGTCTTTTTCCTCCACCTTCTAATCTTAGTAGCGGCTATGCATTCTAGTCCTCTAGTTAGTATGTTTCCAGTTAGGTTTCTGAGTCAGCCTGTTAGATTAAATTGAATTGTATATTTAAACACTACATCTCATTTATTGTTGAATTACTTTTAAGTTCTCACCGCAAGTGGACAGTGTTTTCGTAAATCCCTGACTTCTGTTATACAGTTTGTGATAAATACCCTTTCCTTGTTACACCCTTCCCCTGCTGTGTTCATCTTCACCCCTGCGCGAGAAGTCGTACAAACTTTATCTAGTGCCAAGTAGAAACTAGTGATCATTTCATACTTGCTAAATACGTTAGATCTTATAGTTACTTGTCGAAACAGTATAGATCAAGCGTATTAACTCTTTTAAGTTATGACTATTCACTTTGGAAATTTTATGAGACTATCACTGTTGAAAAGAACTGGTTTACATATTTCACACTTTTCCACGAATGAAAAATACATCCTGTGCTACGATAACTTTTCATTCTGCAGTTATTGCTGTCACTGTAGCATGTCAAGAATGGCATGTCATGCTCATTGAGTGAAATTTTTCATTTTGAAATTTAGAATGTACATTTGGAAGCATTTGTAACTGACTCTTTTATATGTATATATTTTTTAATCATGAGCTACTTTATAAACCAAATATATGTTAATTATAACCTTCAGTATATTTTCCAGCTTAAGCATTATTCTCTAAATGTATATATTTGATTCAAGTTGTTCTAGCACAATTTCTTGAACACTTTGTATAGTACAGTAGATGGATTGAACATCGATTTCAAAATAAATATATGAATTGAACCAAAGAGCATTATGAACGCAGTTGTAAGTGAAGACAATGCATTCACTTTAGTCAGATTTTTTTCTTGAATGCTGGCATCCCTCGCTTCTACGGCACGATATGTATCTTGGTAGTGCTTTATAGTTTCCAGATCATCTTTTACCTTGTTTGCAGTTCTCTATGGAAATTAAAAACATAAATTATTTATCTTTTGTTAAATACAGTAGGGAGAAAAGCAATTAGGAAATTTTAGTATTACATCCTAACTAAAGAGAAAACACAAGGAAAAAAGTGAAAAGAAAATTAATTACAAAAGAAAATCTTATATCTCATTACTAATTCATCGGAAAGAATAGCAATAAATAAAATTAATTGAACTAACAAATAATGATATTAAATTTATTGCACTTATCACTGTATTTAGATAGTACAAAGTTTTCACTTTTACTAGTAAAACAGAAAATGTATACAGGTTTACTTAGATTTTGCAATGATTTTGTTATAAATAAAACAGAACATATACGGACTAAGAAAGGTTATTATTGTGTTCCTATAAAATAACAGAAAAGAAAGGTTATTGTTGTATGCCCATAAAAATTAAAGAAACTGCAATTTACTTCGATTGCAATATGCAAGCTGGAATATGTTCCATGTATAAATAATTATAATATAAACTCATGTAAGCGCATGGACGTAATCACATCAGCCTTTTCTTCTCACAGAATAAATTTTTAAGGTTACAAGAGATTAACTGCTTTCTAATTCGTTACTCTTATCTCTTAATCAGCATTCAATAGCTTACTGCTTGACAGTGGCCTAGCTCATGGAGGTAAGAACTAAGGTAGGAGGTAGGAAGTTACCTTTCTTACCTCCACGGCCTAGCTAGAGGGGGGGCATGGGGGACATTTGTCTTCGGTTGCAGCATACAGAGGGAGTCAAACTGATGTTAAGAATTATTAGAACGAAATGTTTTCCTTTCTTGGCCAACAGGAAGGGGGGCGAAATTTTCTATTGTCTACGGACACTGAAAACCCTAGCTACAGCTCTGCTGTTTGATACATTGAATTAAAGTCTAAATAAACTTAAGGATGTACTATAAAACAATTGGCTTAAATTTTTTGGATGTACTATAAAACAATTGGCTTAAATTTTTTGGATGTACTATAAAAATTGCCCCTTTTGAAAACATAAAAATTGCCCCCCCCTGAATTGCCCCTTTTGGCTTAATTTTTTTTCAGTCTTAACTCAAGTTTTACATACTGAACGTAAACGGAACTTACTGTGACCAGCATTTCAATGGACAGCATGCAAGTTTCACGTATTTCTTTTCATAATATTGTATAAGAATTTAATTAAATATCAGGAGATGCGCAACTGTTTGGTTCACACAGTAATTATCTTCTAATTGAAGCAATCTAAATTTAAATGACTTAGGAACATGGATAAATGAGCAAGAAAAGCAGTTTTCTGGAAAATGCCGCACAGCATTTGATATTTTAAGATTACTTCACAAATTTACGGTGTTAGTCAGCAGCAAAAGAAAAATCTCAGATATACGATAATTAATCTCATCAAATAAAACATTGAGTTTCTTACTCGCGCTTCCTTAACTCCTTTTTATTCAGCAATTATTTTACATATTTCCAAAGTGAATGAGCGTAATCAGAGGGAAAGAAGGTTTTAAGAAAATAAACTAAAAAACTAACTATATAGGAATATAAACAGATATTATATTTATTGCTCATAATTTATCGTTTATTAGGACTACCTAGTTCGCGTGGTTTTACTTTTCACAATTAACGTGTTACTACTATCTTTTAATACTGAGTTTTTATGAGTTACAGTGTTTTGAACGGCGTTACTGAAACAGTTTTTTTGTGCATTAATAATCATTTTTCCAGCATAATAATAATATCTCTTCAAACAGGAAAACTTTAGTTGTTTCCTCTGAATGGCACGGCTTTTTGGATTTGCTCATGAAGAGCTAAATTTATATAATTACTGGTTTTAGTCTCTATTTTCCTAAATTCATGATATTTACGCCCTTAAAGAACGTAAGAAAGCAGATTTCATTAAATTATCAGCTAATATGTACTAAATGACACACACACACACACTAACACACAAAAAAAAAAAAAAAAAAAAAAAAAAATTCTTATGACTGGCTAAAGGAGACCATGGCATTCAGGGATTAAGAAAGACTGGACTTTTTTCGCATAATCGCCTAAATTTAATTTGTTTAAATGTGTACTGAACTCTTCCATTGCTTACAGGTGCACCTGTAGATTAGCAATATTTCTTAATTTGTTTCTTTGTAATTAAGTTTGCTTTAATCGTGCTTTGAATTTGATGCCAGAGAATAGTTAAAATAATCAGCTCCTTTAAGAAAGGGCATTGTTGTCTCCATTATCCGGGTGCGGATTATCCAGTTTGTTGATTATTGTGGCGGTTCCCACGATCGCAAACTCAGTACTATGCGCGTGAGTGTATAAGAAGCAAACACGAAAAAACCTGAACGTGCTAAAACCCCCTGAATTGCCCCTTTAGGTTTAGTTTCATCACTTAGTACAATTTATTCTGCATGTGCATAATCGAAGGCATCGTTTCGGTTGATCACCGGGATATTTTTGTTTCGTTCTTATCTTCCTATATATATATTCCGTATATATTCTTTTTATTCTTTTAAAAACTGATTTAAATTTTTAAAACTAAAAATGAATAAAGAACACGCCACAAGTTTTAAGAGCAAGAATGTTGTTTTAACATTGAAAACAAAAACTTACATCAATCGAAAGATTTGAACATGGCATATCGGCAATGCACGCTGAATAAAATACGTAATTGGCGCCTAAACTGCTCGAGTGGTTCGAGATAGCAATGACTTCTGATGACACTCTGTTTGGACTTCATCGACCAAAGGGGATTCGAACAGAATGACAGAATAGCACTTCGAAAAATACTCAATGAAATTCGCCAAATATTTAAATGATCTCGAAATCAAGGTAAAATTACTAATTTTTTAAGAAATAAACGTATGCAATATGCATGAAAACTGATAGTTTGGATTTTCCACGTTTTTCAATTATCTGTGACTTGCTTCCCCGGCATTAGCCCGGATAATCGAGAATGCACTTCAATTCTTAAGTCATTTGTTACATAACTATAACACTAACCTATCTGCCGATAATGACAATTAGATTTCTGCAACTAAAAATATTTTCATTTAAAGATTATGGCAATTGATTTACTATTAAGCACCAAAAATTAAAATTTATGAATTTTTGGTATTATACAAAGAAAGACTTCAGCTACCAAAAAAAAAAAAAAAAAAAAAAAAAAAAAAAATAACCAACAGTGAAAGCGAATATAACGTTTTGAAAGAAAATAACTTTTTGAAGAAAATTGCAGTATTTGGTCTTGTCAAAAGAAAATATGACCTTGAGTTTGATTCTCAGCACTTTTCTAATTTTGTATTTCTTTCAGATACTTGAATACTTTATATAATTAGATGAGTAAACGCTTCAAATATAAAGCGTTATTTCATGCACTGAACCAGCAACTGAATCGAAACTTTGGAGTTGTCATGCAAAGCTGCCGGGAACAGAGTGTGAATGGATAAAACCGCTGGACACTGATAGGTTACAGGTTACGGAGGACGGGGACGTCTGGTGTCTAACATAGGTAAACAGACGTATGTCCTATGTCCTCCCCTATCTAGCGGCAACAACTCCCTGGAGCCCCCAAGAGGCTGCGTCAGGAGTTTATTGAGAGATGAAAATGGTTGTACATGCCAAACAAGGACGCTCGTATTTTGTTTTACAGATTTGGAGAGACTTTGACTGAACAGAAATGGCAAGGAAACAAAAATGTTGCAGAATAAAAAATTAAAAAAAAGAGGGCTGGAAAAATGCAAGAGCAAGAATTAAAACATGCAAAAAAATATAATTAAGGCATGTGTTGAGCTAAGCTGCTAGGATAATGACCTCAACTGGCATGTGGTGCACAATATGTTGAGTTCTGTGCTAGGAGTTCGTAGGACATATATTACACAAGCGTTTGCACATAAGGTTGTCCACAGTGTCGTAGTTCACATAGGCAAACAGTTTGCACATGTGTATATAGCAAACATGTGTATCACATAGGCAAACAGTTTGCACATGTGTAAATAATTCGCTGTTTGCGCGTGTTGTTCATAATTTGCACATAGTTTACAGTTGCTTGAGGTCTCTGTTTACGAACGTGCACTTATAAACTCGCTGTTCACAGATCGTTGCAAGAATTTTGACGGAGGAAACAGGAGAGTGCAGCTGGCTGCAGTTGTAGAGATGCAAATAGCGGCAATTGTAGTACAGGAAGATGCACATTTGCACACTCTGCAGTTTCGCAGTTTGCGCAGTTCGTGCTTTCGGTAAATACAGATCGTAGTTTGCACAGTAGCACAGTTCACATAGTTGTAGTTTACATAAATTGTAGTAGATGTGACAGTGGAGTGCAGGCATTGCATCCTGTGACATCTGCATGGAGCTTCATGGAATCTAAAATGTTTGAAATCGATGCTCTTTGGTTGCTCATGTAGATCGTGTGGTGGGCTGTTACTGGGAAGCTGGCGAGGATTTAGTATGGCTGGCACACATTTGGGCCCATGGAGGTTAATGCGTCGATGGTTTTTCAGATTTGTGTAATTGTTGGCGTAATGCTGATAATGTAGCGCTGGAAGGCCTCAGTTATTGTTGTAGAATGCTTAATATGAGTTAAGGTTGTCAGTGGGCAGTGGAAGATGTAATGATCGGGTGCTCCTTCTCGGCCGCAGATGCAGTTGTCCGTGTTGGAGATATGGTGTCTGAAGTAATATGAAGGGATTATAATCATCTTTATACTTTATTTTCATAGTTAAAAATGTTGCAATCGATTTTAATTCGATTTCGATTTGACTTTTGTGGAACCAATGCATATACAGGATGTCCATAATAAAACTTGAAATTTGAGAGCAGTCTGTAACAAAAACTACGCAGCAGAACTGCATGAAAATTGAATAATGGCAGAATGAAACGATGGGAATTTTATCGAGGAATAAAAAGCAACGAGTTTCAAAATCCATCACTAGATGGCGTTATGCAATGTAAATTATTGGCATATGCAAATGTCGTAACCATAGTAATCCTGTGCGCGCACAGGAACCCTATAAAGATGCGAGAGGCGAACAGCAGTTATATTTATATACGTGCATGTAATTTTGATGAATTAATTTGTATCTTATGTTTTATTTGTCATGACTTGTCCTTGTTCCTCCTTAGTGCAACACATACATGCAGCTCAGCTTCACTTTCTCACAGCTCCGTCTGATCTTTTTCCACTTGTTCGCTTTTTATCCTTGTTTTGGCCTGTGATGCATGGTCAGCCCCCTTTCTCTCTCGCCTCTGACTTTTAATATCCCCGCTCAGACTCTACTACTCGCTCAGTCGCCATGTACCCTCTGTGCCTTTTCTCGTGAGCCGGAAACGTTGTGCTTCGCGCGATTATATCGGCAATACTTGTAAGGATACGGATACCGCAGTCATACTCATTTTCAAGTCAAGAAAGATGACGTGGACTCTCTAGGAACGTGCTTTACTGGTGAAATTGTTTTACCAAAACGAAGACTCTGCTACCGAAGCTTTGCGGAAATTTCGATCTTTGAAACGATTACGAAAAGGTCCACTCACTAGTCAATGACTAACAAACATGGTTAGGAAATTTGAAGAAACGGGAATATTGTTGATTCAGCCAGAAAGGGGACGAAAGTGTGTTGCTGCACAAGTGGTGATGATGTAGCGACGCAAGTGAAAGAAGACAGATCGCAAAACACCGGCAGTGCACTATGTATTAAACGTTATATATATATCTTTTTTTAAGCTTAACCTCGTTGTTTTGCTTACGGTTTCATACGATTCTTAAAAAGGACTTACACTACTATCCATATAAAATGTCGCTACTGCAGCATCTCTTACCAGCTGATCTGGAGAGTCGACAAACTTTTGCTTTGCGGTTTCTTGCTTTAGCTCCAGGATGCATGGCCATAGAACATTTTGTGGACTGACGAGGCCAACTTTCATATGGAAGGTGCGGTTAACATACGAAATTGTCGTATTTGGGCTGTTACGAACACACATCAATTCCTAAAAATTCCATTACATTCTTTACATGTAACGGTTTGGTGCGGCTTTACTGCAACCTTCATTGTGGGTCCGTTTTTTTTCGTAGAGCCGGCGTCGCAGGTCCTTCACTGGTCAACGAGACGCTTCATTATTAAAGCTATCCGTTATTCGGCTCCTCAGGCAAGGCGCTGTGATCCAACCACAGTCTTTATGCAGGATGGTGCTCCTCCACACATCGCCCATTGTGTGAAATAAGTGCTCAGTCGCCATTTCGGTGATGTCAGAATCATCTGCTGTCAGTTTCCTACAGTTTGGCTTCCTAGATCCCCCTACTTGAATACTTGAATCCTTGCGACTTTTGTATCTGCGTATACCTCAAGGCCATGGTCTACCGTGATCCCATCCCATCTCTATCCGACCTTAAAGAAAGCATAGAACGCCATGTGCGTAACATTCCTCAGTTCATGCTGCTTCCAACAGTCGAACATGCCAATTTACACTTTCAGGTAGTAGCAGACAATGGTGGACATCATATCGAGCGTGTTTTGTAAACTTTTTTAGATTATTTATATGTTCTCAATAAAGCTATGATACGTCACCTAGGAGTGGTTTTTGAAACTCATTGTTTCCCCCCCCCTTGATAAAATTTCCATCATTTCATTCTGCCATCACCCAATTTTCATGCAATTCCGCTGTATAGTTTTTGCTACAGACTGCTCACAAATTTCAAGTTTAATAATGGACACCCTGCATATACAAATGTGTAACACTACCTCCGCGCTTGGAATCAATTGCAGTCTTGCAAACCAAACCTCCCTTTTTCATGTAAATTTTCTGACTACACTATTTTTTGACAGACATGTGGTCCGCGGATTTTAAGAATTTATTGATGTTGCCCTCCCTACTGTACACCACTCGGAGATTCAGGAGAAAACACATGGAGATCATTAATTGCTCAAATACACACTTGCGTGCAAAATTAAGAGAATCTGGAAATCATGTTCATTTTTACGAAAAGTATTGAACCAACGGTACTAATTACACCGTCGAAGAATTATGCAAATATTCACAGACGATTATATAAGCGTACATGTGCGTGTCCGCGGAGCTATGATTGTGGAAGCGGATATAAGCGCATGAGGGGTTTTCGGTGATTTCTGTGCTTCTACTTTTTCACGGCCTTCGCCGTATTTCTTCCAAGAGTTGGGTAAATTTTGTAAGGTACCATGTAAAATGAGTAGCCACAAAGGTATGGATGACAGAATGAGATAGAGAATTGCCGTAGATTAAAGATAGGCCAATCACTAGCGCACGCAGCTACGCAGCTCAGTGTAACAATCAGTGTCATCTGTAATTTCTGGAAACAGTTTTAGAGCACTGTATTCATATAGAGAAGACCTGGAAAAGGTTGATTGAGATACACAACGATGAATGAGGATCATCGTTATTTGACACTTTCAGTGGGATGACACGACAAGACTGCTTTAGCTTCACAGCCTTCGCATAAGCTACATGCTGCCATTGGAACCCGAGTTTCACGGTCTACAGTTGCTCTAAGGCTTAAAGAGATAGGGGTGTATGTCAGAAGACCCGCTGTATGGGTTCTCCATACAGCCAAATTGCAGCAAACAAGACAGCGCTTTAATGGGCCACATTGCCGTTCCAAATTTAAACAGCCCTATTTTTATCCATAAACTGGTTGCAAATGTAGAAACATAAAGAAAAGAGCTAACATTTCTAATATCTGAGACATCATTCAGACCCAAAGTTCCAATATCTCGTTCAGGGATAAAAACTGTGGGCTTGTTTCTGCTAGTAAGTGCAACTGCGGGGATCCTTTGAGCTTTAGCTCCTTGTCTCAGGAGTTGGCGAGTTCCACGTGATATATGTGGGTTCTATTTTAAAGGTTCCAGTTTCAACTTCTGCAACCATCATTTGTTTCCCAGGGAAGAGGGCCTCTCTTTACCAAGAATAGGACAGAGGGAGAAGCTATGACGAATCCTCGCTGTCGAGCTCTCTGCATGGAAAGCGGATAGGAACTTGATAGCTAGCTGCATACCAAACATTCACTTAGAGCCGAGTCCGCCAGAGTACAGATCTCTACAAGCACAATAAAGACCTTAATAAAGAGTCTAAAAGTAAATAAGTTTAATAGTTAATTGCTGATGTAAAATTCCAAGCGTCTAAGCGCGTCGATCCGATATTGATTTTTGCGTATTGTAGATATTAACTTGTGGCAGATTTGTGTCGTTAAAATTTTGTGATGCATTAGATTTAACTGCAAGCTGAGAGATTAGAAAAATTAATTATTATTTAGCTGTTTTGTGAGGTCTTGCTTCAGATGCAGATGATAACTCCGTGTGACACTTTAAGTAGTTAATAGTGGCCTTGAAGTCAAGGTCTAAACACAGGTAATAAAAGTGTGCTTTAAATAAGACTTACAATTTATGCGCATCTAAAATCTACATAGTAATACCTTTTATTCTTTAACTGTGGAGCTAGAAATCCTAGTTTTCTATTGAAGACAGAAGGACACTCAAAGCTTATTTAGATATTCAAGTTAAAGTTTGTCAAAATTTACGAAATGTATTTAAACATTTAAGTTAAAATTCCTGCCAAATTTACGAACGTATAACATAAGATAAAATTTGCGTCAAAATTAATGTTGCTTTAAAAGGTTATTTAAACTGGTTCATCCTCTTGTGAGAATTACCTCTAGTTGGTATGTGTCTTACCATAATGCTGCTACACGTTACTTTTATTGAATTTATTATTATTTTCGCTTTAAATAACTTAGAAGACATTCCAATTTCAACACTTTATATCATAATTTTCAAAAGGTTAATTAAAATCACATACCCTCAAAAGAGTAATAGTTCCATTATTTCTTTTATCAGCCAGCAGTGACTCATTTATCGCCATCCATCGATAAGTTTCAGCTGTAATATCAATCGTGATTTCAAAATACACGATCTTTGTCGAAAATTTGGAGAAATGATTGTCAAAACAAATTTCATAATCTCCGGCCTCGGTTACTACATATCTAAAAATAAATATAATTCCAAAATTCAAACTCTGATTGATATACAGATATTATTACTTTAATTAATTTTGAAGAATGTAACGTAAGCTTCGAAAATTCTAATAATCTCTACGAAGTAACTCTGAATACCTTGGACAATGTTTTTACTCTCTTAATTAATTATATAAAAGTAATCAAAACACTTTTATATACTTTATTTAACAAATGCATTTCGATCTAAGTAAATACAATACAAACTAAGATACATAAAATTGTGCACGTACTTTTCGATACCATGTGACTTTTTTATATATTTCAGCACAGTTTTCTTTTCCGGTGATCGTACATAGAAATTTATCTTGAGTTCACTAACCACGCCATATCTGCTATAATCAGCATCAATTACCTGCAACGGAAACAAAAATCATATTTCCTATAATTCTTTCTATGTAAATATATACAATTAAGGAAAATTTAAGAAAACCAATCAATGAGAAGGAAATACAGGGTGGTGCAAATAAAAGTAGCCCAGAGAGTCCCTCTGTTTTCTGAGCCACTTTTATTTGCCCCACCCTATAGAATAAAATCTTTTGTGCCAATGATGAAAACAGAGTCCGTTGAAAATATCGCGGGCCTTCACTGTTGCAATGCATAATAATTTGCAAGCTTCACGAGAAATCAGAAATACTTGTACCCATATAATTGCAGATGTTTTTAATTAATGAATAGTTTAAGAGAGAAATCAAGACAGGAAAACATTCGAAAAATGCACAGAAATCTCAGCTACCTGTAGCAGTTACTAGAATTTTAAACTTATGTGATTAACTTGCAGAGACATTTGGTATTTTTGAAGCAGAAGAAATGAAAAATGAGCAACGCCGTCGCCGGGAATCGAACCACGGACTCCTGGAATACGCGCCCAGCAATGCAGACCACTACACCACGAAGGCACGCTCAGAAGGCAGGAGAAATACCTTATATTCTGCCCCTTTTAAAGTAAGACTGGTGTGTTAGGGGACCCAAACGCCAAATCCTGGGCTTGGAGAATCATCATTCACCACACTTTTAGTTCGGGCGCCACTTGTAGAGACATTAGGTTATTTTTGAAACAGGAACAAATGAATAATGAGCAACGTTTTCCCCGGGAATCGAACCTCGGACCTCTGGAATACGCGCTCAGCGTACAGACCACTACACTACGAAGGCATGCTAAGAAGGTAGGAGAAATACCTTATATACTCCCCCGTTTAAAAGGCGACTGGTGTTTTCCTGTTCGGGCGCCACTTGTAGAGACATTAGGAATTTTTGAAGCAGGAGAGATGAAAAATGAGCAACGCCGTCGCCGGGAATGGAAGCACGGACCTCTAGAATACGCGCTCAGCATGCAGACCACTACACCACTAAGACACGCTGAGAAGGCGGGAGAAATAAACTTATTAACAATCATTATTTAATGAATCCTTTTTATTAAAACACGCTTGTAGTTTTGGCTTACAAAACATTACATATTGCAACAGCGAACACATATTTATACACTCATGGACAAAAAAATTAGCTCAGCAAGAAATAATTGCGGGATCGTAACGAAACTTGCAATGAAGGTACATGTCGCGGAAATATGCAAATGATTAGAAATGCAGCGTGATTGCGCATTACGTATAGCCGGTAGAGGGCGTTGAACGTCGAACTTTGTGGAGTATAAAACAGGTAACCAAAGCTTGCTGAATCATTTACAAAGGAAGAGCTGAGGTAGACATGCCATTACGCCGTGTTCGAAGACAATATGAGTAGTTGTCGCAGTTTGAGAGGGGGAGAATCGTTGGGATGATGGAAGAAGGGTGGTCAGCTAGGCGAGTAGCTCGTCAATTAGGCCGCTCAGTTGGTATCGCGGCGCCCATTACGTGTGCTGCCCTTGATGCCCACCCATCGATGCCTCCGTTTGGAGTGGTGTCGAGCACGAGGAAACTGGACTGCTGTGGAATGGAGCCAGGTCCTCTTTAGCGAACGAATCCAGATTCAATCTCGGTAGTGATGACAATCGTGTTTGTGTGTGGAGAGCCCGTGGTGAATGCCTCAATCCTGCCTTCGCTGTACAGCGACACATCCGCTCCCACACCTGGTGTGATGGTATGGGCTGCCATTGCCTACAATACACGGTCACCCCTAGTATTGTTCTGTGGCACCATGACAACAAAGCGGTATGTTCATGAAATCCTGCAACCACTGTATTGTCATTCATGCAATGGCTCCCAGGAGCCATTTTTCAAAAAGACAACGTTCGGCCTCATGCAGCAAGGGTGTCACAAGACTGTCTCCGCACTGTTACTACCCTTCCTTGGCCTGCCGGATCCCCAGTTGTCTCCAATCGGCATATCTGGATCATTTGGGACACAGTTGGGGCATCCCACGAGTTTGAATGAATTAGGCAAGGTTACAGCAATATGGAACGTAATGTCTCAAGACATCATACAGAACTTGTATGACTCAATGCCCAATCGTATCGCATCATGCATTCACACTAGAGGGGTCCAACGGAGTATTAACTCCTCCGTTCTTTTGCCTTTTTCTCTGAAATAAATTATCATTTTTCTTTGATTTTCTTATCATTTGCTTATATCAAAGTAGTCATTACGTGTGTAAAATTTCGTTTCATTTTGACGACTCTTCTTGGTGCGCTAATTTTTTTTGTCCATGAGTGTAATTTTGAAGTCTGAAAATGCATGTGTGCAATTTATTGCCATGAGATATTTTGCAGATGAATTAGATTTTGTTTCAATGATTTGTATGACGACGATTTAAAAGTGCAAACTTTTACCTCCTCTTTAATTTCTACCGATATTTTGTACAATAGTGTTTGAGAAAGGCAATATTTTCTCTTTACTTTCTTTTCTACGACGATGTTTTTTGCACTAGTTTTCGTTTCTATTTTTTCCTCTGTCATTAGATATATATTATATTAAATTCACAATTTAAAGTTTTGAATAAACACATTATTCTAATTTGTTTCATTTGAAGACAGAGGCATAAAGAAGTTTTTTAACTATTTAGCCGTTTACGTACTTTGAAGTGAAAGCAACAATGAAAATACTATTTTCATTTTCGAAGTATATAAAAAGTCACAGAATTTCAAAACTCATTAGTAACTGCGAGGAATACAAAAAGAAACACCAGGGCTTAATTTCTAAAATTAGAAGTGCCGGAATGAAAGAAGATGGAAGGCCGTCAACAAAGAGGAACAAAATTAAATAAATAAATAAAATAACTATTAAAATCATTAATAATTTTTAAATTAAATAGTTATTTATCAAATTAATTAGTAATTATTTAATTCATATTATTAATTAATTAAAAATTAATTAATTATAAGTTATTTAAATAATTAAAGACTATTAAAAGTAATTGAATAGTTTTAATTAATAAATGTAAAGAGATAAACTAAAATTTAATAAGCGATTTTTAATACATTTTCATTGCAAAAAATAAAATGTTCGAGATCAAAATTTCTACTGAAATTGTTGTTCAGTTACATAAAAGAAGTGTCGGAGCTTTCTAATTTAGGGCTCCGGTGGGCTCCGACGCAATTTAAACTCTGAGAAACACAATATCTCAGAGATATAGCACATTCATTAATAAAGTACTTAGCAGAACATATAAAACTGACGAATTTATTCCTTTGAACAACTTTTTAAATAGAAACAGACATACATTGTAAAAATTATTACTATTCTATATTCTCAATTAAAAAAGGGGGAACATGAAATAAGGCTTGTGAACCACGATAAGCCTAGAAATTTGAAAATCATAAAATCTGTAAAAGAAAGAATAAATTCTTTAAAGCTCGCAAATACAAAGCATTGTTACTGACATTAAAAAAAAAAAAAAAAAAAGATTTTTTTTTAACAGAAATTATGTAATTATTCACTGCCGGCCTGACACAGCGCAACGCGCATCACACAAACTTTAAAATTTGGTACTGCTTTTGGTTTATGACTTTTATCTGCTGAGGGAGCTACTGTGATATCTAATGACGTGCTGAAGTATTCTTTATTCTGTTGCCTTTGTTTTCATCGGCAAGTGGGCGACGCTTATAAAGAAAGGAAAAGCTGTTCATCACAAATAAATAGTTGCTTACTCACGAATCATTTATTTGGAGTCAGATAACAAGAAATAAATGCATTACAGTTCTGAAATCAGAAAGCAGTTCTTAGTTAAAATTTTCAATGAAACTGCGACATTTAAGTTTAACTAGCAAAATTTTATTTAATTTAATTCTCCACTTTCTACCTCTTTCCGCCACGAGGCTCATTCATTCCAGAATTTTATGTACATGTCTTGGTGTATGTAGTCTTGGTGATTCGAATGCTGTTCTTGATGTGAATATTGTAGACCGAGTTTAGATTCCTTTTTGGTAAATGGCGTGTTTGAATTATTGTCGCGGTCTAAGCAAAGTTTGCAATCTCTAGTCAAGTTAGATTTTAATTATTGAATTTATAATCATTGTGAAAAGAAGTTTTGTGTTGTAAACCACATCCAAGTTGACTGGTAACTGTATGATTGTATATTTTAATTTAATCCCACACAAGTGTTGAAGTAGAATTAATTTAAAGTGCTTTTAGAGGCAGGACAAAGTCAAACAGAAGTGGCCAGATGGCTAAATGGGAGTCCTTCTGTGGTTCATAGACGTTGGAGGCAATTTCAAATCACAGGTTCGGCCCCTAGGAGGTTCAGCCAAGGACGGCCAACTGCTACGACGAGCGCCGATGACCGATATTTGACATTATGTGCACTCAGGAATAGAACCGCTACTCCGACACTTCTTAGATCCTCCCTTGCTGTCAACGTCAACTGTGCGTAGAAGGGTTCACGAAGGTGGTCTGTATGCGAGGCAAACAACCATTTGCGTGTTGCTCAAGTCACGCCATAGCAGGAACCGTTTGCAGTGGGCACGACAACATGTCCACAGGACGCCTGAGCAATGGAGGGCTATTCTCTTGACGGATGAGTCCAGGTTTAGTCTAAAACGCGATGGTAGGCGTTATTTGATATGGAGAGAACCTGGAACCCGTTATCATCCGTCAAACATCCGTGAAAGAGACGCATACGGAAGAGGCAGTGTCTGTGTTTGAGGTGGCATCTCTTTGGGTGGACGCACAGACCTCCATGTTTTTCCTAGGGGAACCGTGAATGCTCATGTTTATAGAGATGACATCCTTGATGCTTATGTGCGCTGATATGCCGGGGCAATAGGAGATGCTTTTCTGTTACAGGACGACAATGCAAGACCACACAGGGCTCGCATCGTATATAATTATCTTCAACAGGAAACAATTATGCGCATGGAGTGGCCAGCTAGATCCCTGGACTTGAATCTTATCGAGCACGTTTAGGATGCTTTAGACGTCTAGCTGCTCTCAATCCGCCCCCTTAGACCCTTGCCACTGCTTTGCAAGAGCAATGGCTCTCGCTTCCAATGGAACTGATAGACCACATAATTGAAAGCATCACACATCGCTGAATGTGCTGTATTACTTCTAGAGGGTGATTATACTCCATATAAAAGGTACTTTTACTATAGCAAACTGACATCTTCGATTTGTTCATTTTATACATGTTCTAATTTCTATACTAGCATAATTGTCTGGTAATTTCTTTTTATGTTATTTGATGCCTTATTATGTGTTGTATATTGTGGGTAAGTTTCATAAAATTCTACATGTAACTTTTTCAGTAATCGCGTTTTTTGTGATTTTTCCTTAATTTATGATAACCAGTGTATTTGTATCGAAACTGAGTTAGCTAAGTTACTTGTACCTACAGCAGGTGTTACAAAATTATCCAAAAAGCAAAACAAAACTGAGAACAGTTTGCAGTTGTAAGTTAAATATTTATGTTAGGCCTTGTTAATCTGAAAACAAAAAAATTTGATGTGCACACCACGACTTCCTTGTACGGAATATTAAATTATAGGCATATTTTCTTGCATTTCGTTTAAACTTATTAGATTGCATTAAATCTACGTCGTTAGCGCATAAATCACAATAGAATAAATTCCCTCTTTAAAATTCACTATATTTGTTTACCATAGTGACACTGGCGCTACGCTAAGTTTCCTTAACAGCGTTACATTTCATTCATTTTATAACTCAGAATGCACAAAATTTATATTATCTGAAGAATTATCCAATCGTTGCCACATGTTCTACTCAAATATTATAATAAATCTAAAACGATTTATAAAAGAAATTAAACAAACCAAAAAAAAAAAAGAAAGAAAGAAAGAAAGAAACAGTTTTTTTTCACAGACGATTCAGTATTTCGCATTCAATTAATTCAGTACTCGCTTCTCTACAAGGCTAAAATACATAAAAACTCAGAATATTTATATTAAAAATTACTTATTTCCTCGAATAAATTCCAGAATGGATTAAGCATGATTTAATTCGCAATAATAAAAGAAGGCTTTATCTTTGTTGGTACGAAGCTTAGTTTCTCTAGATGGGCATCAAATCATTATTCTGCCCAGTTTCAAATGTAAACAAACATGAGCGCCATGGAACAATAATTAGGCTTAGCCGCACTTAAACAACTTTTAAATTGTTGATAATTCTACAAATATTGCAAACAGATTTACTAAAGGCATAAAAACCTTAATCGGAAGATAAGAACAACATAATTCAACCATTTTTTAAAGCAATATATATATATATATATATATTTAAATACTTTTGGTGCGGCCGATTGCAACCAAAATACGAGGTGTATATCTACATGTTATAGCAGTCCTATATACAAAATTTCAACGTTCCGAGGCTACTCGTTTTTGAGTTATGCGAGATACGTACACACGTAAGTAAATTCTCTTCAGAATTCCTTTTAAATCAGTTTTATAATTTCTTTTGGGGGGGAAGAGTCCTTTATTCTGTCCTTATGTACAGATGTCACGCAAAAACATCATTAATTTGCATTCGATAGCGGTATAATTGGATATTTGCGTTGAAATATGATGCCTGAAACGTTTCGCGATTACAATACTTCCTTTTTACTTCGTACAAGGAAGTAAAAATGTTAATCCCTGTAAATCTCATAGGATTATAAGCAATACAGCTACACTTTGAAAACCAGTCTTATAAATACACACACATCCAAAAAAGTTGTGATTTTCCACAAAATAAAAGATAAACACCAGATAGTAAAGCAGAAACACGTTAAGTCCTATATTGAGAGTAAATGAGTTACACTAATATGAAATACAATTTTTAATTCGAAAGATATATAGAGTTCCTCACTTTTATTTTGTTAAACTAAGTATCGAGAAACCTAGTGAACTGCTGAACGAATAATCGCTTAAGTCCAAGAACGGAAACTTAAACTCAAAAAGGGTTAATTACCCTTTATTTCACTTAAAATAAGATTAACAGTCAGCCCTTTTCTCAGGGCGTACAGCAAAGGCTCCACTTGGGTTAAACTCAAAGTGTATGATATAAGAACTAACTAATGACTAAATAAGATTTAGCTGAAACTAATAAAATTCTAATCTAGTTGGCGTGTAATGTTAAATTAGTCAGCGAACTATTAAAAGGCACGTAATACGGTCGAGCGTAATAACATCTTAGAGAGACGTAGCCCAAAGGCAAACACGCGCTACTCAGGAATTCTGTCTCTCTCTCTGGCGAAGTCAGTTGAACTTGACTTTATAAGGCATTTCTTCCGCTTTCCTAGCGTGCCTCCGTGGTGTAGTGGTTCTGCACTCAGAGCTGTTTGTTTTGGTTTGGTTTAGTTTATTATGGCAAAACACACAACGGCTGTCTGCCTAAGATGGCGTGTTTATGGCATTATATGGTTATTTGATTATGACAAAGCGCTATCTGTCTAGGGAAACGATGCCTTCGCGGAGGACTTTCGAAGAGAACTGGCTCGTATACACGTTACACACGGGAGAAACCACGAAAACGCACATGCAGCCAACCAATTTGCGGAATCTATCTAAGGGAAAGAATGCGTTTGTGGAGGACTTTCTAAGAGAAACTGGCTCATATACACGTTACACATGGGCAAAACCATAAAAACTCCTAAGCAGTCTGCCCGTTCCCCTGGATTCGAACCCAGGTCGGAACTACCAGAGTTCATACTCGAAACTGTTTAAGATGATCACGCCAGCTTCAAGTAAAGTAGTGACGATTATGAAGGAGGGCCAGTAACAGAGAATTCAATCTTTGAAGGCCTGCAGCTGACTAATAATTTCATCATTTTATAACACAACATCACAATGTAGAACGTGCTTTACAATTTAAACATGATTTGCCCGCTTGCATAACTCAAATGCCAAGAGTTATACAAGGAACTCACAAGAAAAAATAAATAAATGAAACAGTCACAGTGATCGAAAATCGAATTTGTTTATTTTGTTTAAATCCAGCAAACACAAAAGTGTGAAAAGAAATATTACACAGGCTGTGGTATCTCAAGTAATGAAAGCGATGTCACACCAAATGTGCGTAAACGGCTATTTTTCTGATGGTGAATAATCTTTCTGACGATTTTTTTTAAAGTTATTTTTATGATTTTATATTTTAAATAAAATTAAGATACAATAAATAACAACGAATTTTATATTTGATATTTTGAATTGATTTTTATACAAAGAAACTTATTCACCATCGTTCTTCAATTTAATATAGTACTCCTTTACGCGGAGAATCCAGTCTATTATGGTCAAGTGATCATTTAGTAGAAACATATGGAACGTTAATTTCTATATGAGTCTGCTAGAAAAGTGCGTCAAAGAAGATATGGGTTTCAGTAAACGAATCTGTCAAAATGAAAAGTGCCTATTCTCTTAACGTAAAATTACCCAACATGTCATTTAAATTTTGTGGGACCGTATACAAATATTGCTACACACATTGTTATGTTACATTTTTGAATGCCACCCAACAGGTATAGTGGTTAGCAGGGCTGACTGCCTGCAAAGGGCCCGGGTTCGAATCCCGGAGAAAGAATGCATGTTTGTAAATGTATAGTGTTCGTGCGGGATGGGGCACTCTAAATATGCGGCGAGTCAAAAGTCCTCTCGAGAGGTTGGTGGTAGGGGAAGAAGGGTGGGAGACTCTCGGACCTATCTCTCCTCTATCAAAATTGGGGGCGGAACAAAGCTAAATCGCCCTGTCACCTGTAATTTGCTCAAGGCTGTTGCCAACGACAGGCGTAAACTTGCACTCCTTGCCACGAGGAATTTTGTAGGCTTGGGCTGACTAGACGAGTGAGCATTAGGAACGACAACAACAAATTTCTGAATGCAGTTTTTAAAAGTTAACTTTTATATTAGAATTAATTTAGAAGCACTGATTTTAAATCATCCCTTGTAGAAATGCTAATATCCGAAATTTTACATTTCATTAAATTTTATATCTGTACCACCCTTAAAAGGAAAACTTGAGCTAATTTTTTTTTGGGGGGGGGAGAGCGAAAGTTGTACAAGTCATATAACACTGAGTATACTTTTTAAGGACCATTTTGAATATTACAAAACAATTTCCCTCTACTGCAAAAGCTGCTTAGTGAGATAAAGAATTTTCTTTTTAAATAACTTTTATTAATTGGAGTTTTCTTTCGTAAAGGCCACGTATAGCAGTATTTATCATGTTCAATAGTTTTATTTCAGCCACGTATAAAATTTATGCTATAACGGTTTAGACTAAGTAAGTAAATAATACAAATTTCATGTATTTTTTGTAAAGGTGTCATGTGATCAAAATTAACATAGAGTGGAAGCTTACCTTATTTACTTAGTTTCTTGCACTAGAACTCTAGTTCTAAAACCAGTCATCCGAGACATTATTTGCTCAAGCCCTTTGAAGCAACTAGTGCACGAATTAACAAAATTTCCTTGGTTTTCGTAAGGAAATGGATATTTTTCATGTTCTTTTAAATTCAAAGAGGTGACAGTATAACTCAGAGACTATGAACTCAAAAACTATTTGATTTGGTTAAACCAATAAATTTCTGCGATCTTCATTTGTAACAGCTCATAAATATTGACTCGTAAAATCAGAATGAACTTGATGTGCAAAATGAACTTGCTATAGACGTGCAAGTAATATTTTATATGGTAGGACAACATCAATATAGTTACTCACAACAAACAATCTTACAAGGAATTTTTTTAAAATTTCAATTATGTAAGAAAATGTAGAGTGGATGAAGTAAATTGAAAAGTTTATGTAACAAAATATCTTACAAGAAACTCCTTAAAAAAGGAAGACAAAGGATGTTACCAGGTTATTATGTATAGAACGCTAGCTAAGAAATTAAACAAATGTGATTAAACCAACAGAAGGTACTAGTGTAAATTACGTACTCGGAGACATTACATATTTTAGAGAAGAGAAAACTAACTCACCCTGTATTCAAAGCGCAAGATCTGCTTTGGCAAAGCATATTGGTAAAAACATTCCTGTTCGCGGGGTTTTACCATTATTGTAAGTTCGATGTTAGGGAATTCAAAATTGAATGATCCAGTAACAGGCAGAAACGTGTAAAAAATCAAAGTCCACAAATTTAACATGATTACGAGTTATCTATACTATCTGTGAAAATATAAATTCTGTTCCACTGAAGGCAATCATTTTCCCATTTAAGAAAATACGAAAATAGTGAAATGTCAAAAAATAAAACAGCATGTATCATTTAGCAAAGCATTAAAATAAACCACATTTTGCCATGGTAACCGAAGAATAGCAATCGAATTTGTGGCATAAAATGTGAGAAGTTGACTTGACGAGAAGTCAATACGACTCACAGTACCCACTGTACCAACCTGCGCTAGATACAGTAAACATATTGTCTCGAAAAATGTTGATTAATCGAAAAATATACATAATTCTTGGAAAATTTCGAAGCACAAAACCCCCTTCAGCATACTAATTTACTAATTAAGCACTTCTGCTTCCATTATTATGCTGAGTTGAAACGAAACATTATTAAAGAGAAAGGTCATAGAAAATTATTTTAACAATCGATTTTACTCATTTCACCCCGTGAAATCCTCGGCATTGTTTTCCTTTCACGAAAATTTTAAATTACTCTTAGACTATTCAACTTATTCTTAGACTTTCAACTTAATTGAAAGACGTGATAGTCATGCCCCTAATTTGCTTGGACATTTTAGCGACTATTTTGCCACAAATATATAATTTAATGCATACGAATAGCATAGCATATCAATGATTTTCGTTAATTTTTTTTTTTATTTGAATCTTGCATGAAACTTGGGTATGAACTTAAATGAAACTTCGCTACGAAAACGAATTCTACTATACTGAAAGGTAAGAAATAAAAAAAGAGAGAACTGCTCTTTTAAAATATAAAATCATTAAAGCCTCCTGTGGCAAAAACTTTAAAAGCCAAAGAAATATGTTTAAATGTAAGAAGGAATATGTATATGAAGGAATGAGAATATCTTTCATTTTCAGAGCCTCTTCATTTAATAAAAATGCTTTCTTTAATTACACAATAAATACCTTTGAAAATAAAGCATTTTGTTTAGCTTTTGCTAAAACTTGCTGCAATGGATTAAGGTTATTTAGATCACGGCAAACATGCAATGGCTATCTGGCTATCTACCTAAAAAAAAGGAAGATTTCGTAGAGGTGGGTTTTTTTTTTTTTTTTTTTAATTAATTTTCGTACTTAAGTTACACTCGGAGAAATCCATGAAAAATCTCATGCAACCAGCCTATTCGCAAGAATTAGAGCCCAGATGGTACTTCCAGTGTCCAGCGGTTTTATGCTTGGCTGCAGGGTTCATCTTATGAGCTGTAAAATAGTACTACATTAGCTGCCTATAAGTTTAAAAAAATTAAATAAATATATAAATTAAAAATTCAAGTAAATAAATAATTGAAAAAGGATACCGAATTAGACAACCATAATAAAGGCTGTGTAAATATGCAAAACAACTTTTAGCTTTTTCGTAATAGGACAACACACGCAAAACAACATTCCACAGGAAGAAATATTACCTATTGACTATTCAGTGTCGTACCCAACATTACCTATTGACTATTCAGTGTCGTAGGGTTATTATTATTATCTTTCAGTTACAAGTTATTTTATGTTCTGGATCTTTACTATCACTTCTGATTTCCGTTTCCCTACTAAAATGTAATTGAGGTGAAATGAGATAGTATTCAAAGGAAAGTTTCCGGAATTTAATTCAAAGCGTGTTCTACTTATCGAGGCCATTTTACTAGGTTAGATAAAGCCGAACAATACGATCTTATCTGAGTTGGTATTCAAATTGCTACGCCAGTAAGAAGTTTTGAGCCAACTTCGCGCAAAATCCTTTGTATAGCTCTTGGCTACTAGACTTAGTTTTAATCTGAAATTTGAATTTTACTGATTAAGTTACCTCGCCACAAGTGGTTGGCTGATTTGTAAGCACGAGTCTTGGATTCATGTTCAAAAGTTCTGATTTAATAAAACGGTTTGTTTAAACCTTCTCAAGTCTCCGTCGTAAACATCATACGTAGCGATAATTCACTTCCAGTCTGTTAGGAGTTTGTACTTAATTTATGCTACCAAAGCAAGTCAAACTTTATAATGTCTTTGTAATTATTTTTATCTCTCGTAATCAGAAATCTCGTAAATTCTTGTTTAAGTTAGTATTGGACATATAGCCCTAGCATGCTTTGCAGTAGTCAGATAGTCAAATCGTATCAATAAACAGTTTTTAAACTGTGACATTCTATCTCGTACTCCATCTATTAAAACAAGTAAAGTAAGAGATATATTTCTGATGTTGAGGAAAAATTTACCATTATCGAAATGAATTGATGACGGAAATGTGATTTTTCTTTGAAATAAGCCCACCAAAGTAAAGTACCTGAACACAGGTAGTTCGATCTGGGTTCGATTCCAGGCGAACGGCCTGGCTGCACTGGCATTTTCATGGTTCACAGTCTCCATGTGAAACACACTCCTGGACACGAGCCAATTTTTTTAGTAAGACCTCCACGAGAGCATCTCAATCCTTAGGCAGATGGTTCTCTCATGCTTTGCTATAATTAAATAAACCAAACGAAAAAGAATCTACTTTTTAACCTTGTGGCTCAAAGAAAGCTTAACATACATACATATACATAGAAAGATCAACTTTGGGATACACTCTATATAATTCAGTATGTATCTGACTATTACCCTACAATGTTTATGTCATTCTGATTGTTATATTTTCTTCCCTTCACGTCAATGTAATGTTCAATTATTTAGTCACTATGGTGTTACTTGTATATCTGTTTATAAGTTTATTTGAATTTTTTTATTATTTTGTGATTATTATTACTTACTATCATTATTATTTATTATTTTGTTATATTATCTTATTATTATTATTTATTATTTTGTTATTATTATTTATTAATATCATTTATTATTATTATTATTATTTTTTTCTTTGATATTATTTACTATTTTTTTTGTATCTGTTTATATGTTTATTTGAATTTTACTCTGCTTTAATTAGTTGTTCATTTATGTAAACACCAAAAAAGTTTTTTTTTTTTTTTTTTTTTTATTCCTAGCATTGTAATCTCACTGGCCGTCCCTCACTTCTTGTTTTAGCCGTAATGTCTTCTCCCCTTTTTGGTTTTAAGTTTGCAAAGCTTTCTCTTTCCCTTTCGCCGTTTGGCCTTCCCTCTAAGCGCCCTTTTGTCGTTAGGCTTTACTTCATTTCGTCTATTCCCCTTTCTTAGACCAGTTTTTAGCTTTTGCGTTTTCCCTTTTTAGCCGAAAGGCTTCCCCTCCTCTTTTAGCCGTTTGGGTTTTCTTTGAGGCTTCTTTTCTCAGCTGACGTGCTCTGCCTCATTTTAGCCTATTGGCTTTCGCCCACCTTGGTACTTAGCACCTGTTTCCTCCTGCCTAACACGGAGTGAGATAACGGAGAGTCTAAAAGTGTGGATTCAAACCCATACACTTGGCAGCAATCGTTACAAAACACCGCAGTTGGTTTCAGTACCATTAGCGGTTATAAGAGTTTGTTGTTGTTGTTACCTTGGGAAAGTAAATAGTGTTGGAGAGCCACAACTTCTAATATTTTTCGGAAAGAAAAATTTACTCGCTCTTATTATCAGGTTCAATGTTCCGTCTTACTTTCTTTGGAAACATGAAAGGACCTGACTCGGAACAGGGAGCTTACTAAAGCTATGTTCAATAACTGTGGGAAGTAGACAAGATACACAGGAAGGGTATACGAAACCCTTTATTTTTCACTCTTTACAATGATTTCCCTACTTCGGAATACAGAGCCCAACCACTTGTGGTCTAAACGTAAGAATATAAAATATTAACTAAACTCTAACTTAACTTGGAGTAACAAACAAGGGCCTACGTGGAAGATTGGCCGTATATTACAGGAAGCCGTATGTAGTACAGAGAACTGTGAACACTACAATACGTTTAAAAATTATAAGAGGATTAAACCTCTGGCCTGGAAGGCAACCAGCAACCGAGTAAAACTGCTAAGGCAAGCGGCCTGCTTCTACTAACTCCTTCCTCTCTCTCGCTTGGCAAAAGCCACAACTTAAGTACTTGGCGTTCGCCAGACAATTTGCATAAATAAGTTAAAGCTTTAATTCTGGCCGGAAGTAGAAATAAGAAGTGATAGTAAGATTTAAAATAAAATAAGTTGTAAACTTAAGATCCTTACATACTTCCCGCCAGAGTTAATTAGTTTGAAACTGAGTCTAAACGACCTTGTTGAAACTTTTAGCTCTAGAATCTAGCGCAGGCCAATCTTGTACAACATTTCCACTAAAACTAGAAATTTAAAAAAAAAAAATTGTTTTTACATTATCAGCTCCATGGACAATTACTTTTCATCTGTACTCATCTAAACAGGAGCTTTTAATTGAAATCTGGTTCCTTCCAGATAGTTAATGAAATGTTCACAATTCATGGCAAGTCCATGAATATTTATATTCTCTTAAACATTCTTATTTCATTCATGACTATTAATTATCTCTCCCCGGCTCTCTGCCATGTGTTGTAAAAGAACACCAAACACGAATGTGTATGTATACGTGTTCAAACTGCCCCTACAATCAAAACCTAACGTGTTAAATTCAACATAACCGACCTCGTAACACAACCTATCTTCAACTCTAACCTGAGGTACTATTCTGAAAGTGACTAACCTGAAGTGTGCGTCAGAGAGCCTAACTACATCATTCAACCTTTAACACATATTCACTATAATTTGGTCTTTTTTCAGTCACACGAATCAGTTTAAAATTTTTTTGCATACTTTTCATTTTACATACATGCATTTCTAACAATTAAAAACCAGTCACCTTGATATAAGAACAGAAACTGCCGTAATTTAACGCATTTTAAAAAACATTAGTGTACATTGTTAACTCTATTCTTTCAAAGCAGTGCAAATATTCGACATTGAAATCTAATTTCAAAGTCTTTAGACTAAAACTCTTTCCGCCGATGTTTAATAAAATAAGTACAATAACTTTACAATATTAGTATGTACATTCTATTATACATCAACTTGGTTTTAAGCGCGAGTAATGAAAAAACTAATACCAAAATCGGTAACAACTCATTTCTCGCCCTCTGGCGATAAAGGTAGACCTCACATGAGGTAAACTTGTTGAAATCTGCCACTTGCAGT